CGGCGCTCCCACCCGAGGGTTCGGATCCCACATACAGACCGGTTCCCGCTCACTGGATGAGCGAGGTGCGGGCGCAACGCCGAGGGTTGCAATCCCGTTGCTGGTCCGGTCTGGTACGGGCGCGACACTGAGGGTTGCGATCCGTTGCCGGACACGAAAAAAGACAAAAAAAAAAAAAAATTTCTTTTTTAGGAATGATTTAGCTAGGTTGCTCTATTCTGATTTCCTCTAAAACATTGTGTGTCCTAAAGTGACTAAGAGCATATTTTTAAATGCTGTCACTTTTGGATATTATTATTATTTATATCCTCCATTTACATTTATTGAGGAGAAGAATTGCAAATGCAACCCAAATCTGACAATATGTGTTTCCCTTCAGATAGCCTTTGCTAATGAGAAAGCGTTGTTGCATCCACATTTTGCTTCATTTGAAGCATCTGATGGATACATTATAACAGACTTGTAATTTGTCTGCTTAGATAGGAAGGGACCAGTACAAAATTATTTTTATGATATGAAAATGTATTGATATTTATGGAAGTGAGCAAGTTTGCTTCCTGTGAGAAAAAAGATCAAGATTTTGCTTTTGACAGCCATAATCTCTTAGAGCTTCACTTTTTATAATTAATTTTTTCCTGAATAGAGTTAATTAAAATCTTAGCAAAAAGCTGACTAAAGACTTTATTCAGTTTAATATTTTCCACTAGAGAATTGTTGTTTTTCTTCCCTTTTTTTTAACCCTTGCACTTCTTTTGTATTCATTGTTCTGTTCAGCACTTTGCCTCTTCTTTTTAGGGACTACAAATAAAAAGTGAATGACTTTTTATATTAAAATAATAAATTTCTTATAGTAGTAAGTGATAAAGCCAATTTACCTTAACTGTGTGTCCTAAATGGACACTTTTCTGGGAAACATTTTGGTATTTTATTTTTACTGCTGGATTTACCAATTTTAGAATGTTCCTAATGATGAATGAGAACAGTTATTTCCCTTTTAATGCTTGAAATTTCTGAAGAGGATTGAAACTTACTGTTTGTTATATTCTTTCTGAAATGTTCATCCAGAGTTCCTTAGATCTGCAGAATCTTCTTTTCTTGCTTGAGCATGGATTCAAAAGGTCTCTGCTTCAAGATTTGTTTGCCATGCCTGTGTTTCAGATCTTGTGTTCTTGTCCTAGGATTTACCGAGGAGCATTATGGATCCTGGGAGAATACTGTAGTACCAAGGAAGACATTCAGAGTGTGATGACCGAGGTCCGCAGGTCCCTTGGGGAGGTATGTTTTACTTCAGTAGATATTACTTTATATGGTGTTTTTTATTTTAGAAAAATCTGGCTTTTCAGTTGGTTAGAGCATGGTGTTGTAACACCAAGGTCAAGGGTTCAGATCCCCATACTGGACCACCAAAAAAAGAAAAAAGAAAAAGGCCAAGAAAAATCTGACATTTTTTTGTTAGTTTGTTTTGTTTTGTTTTGTTTTGTTGGCTGCTGGCTAATATGGGAATCTGAATCCTTGACCTTGGTGTTACAAGGCTGCACTCTAACCAATTGAGCTAACTGGCCAGCCCCCAAAATCTGACTTTTATGTGGTGATTTGTTTTTGTGTTTTTATTTAGTAGTGTCTGGCTACAGAACACCGAAAAATGTATTTTAATTACCCAGGCAATTAAGCCTTAGGGGCTGTGGAAAATTAGAGGACCACCCCCACCCTTCACCTTCCCAGCTGAGCCATAACACCTGTTCTTTTTTCCATGTTATTTACTTTTCTTGTTAAGATCTTGTTTGAACAAAATGTTCTGTTTTTAAAAAAAGAAAAAGGGTTATAAAATTCTGCTTTACCCTATGTGTTTGAAAGAAAAATGCTTTAGAACAAGGCTGACTTTAGAATATTTTTTTATTAAAACTGGCAGTATTTTCTCATCCAAATGACCTTATGGTAGAATAGAAAGAACAGTGGACTGCTTGTCAGGAGACCTGGGTTCTAGTCTTGGTTCTGCCAATAATTAGCACTGGGACCTTGAATACAAGTTTCTTAACCTAACTGGACATCTGCTCATCCAAATGACCTTATGGTAGAATAGAAAGAACAGTGGACTGCTTGTCAGGAGACCTGGTTTCTAGTCTTGGTTCTGCCAATAATTAGCACTGGGACCTTGAATGCAAGTTTCTTAACCTAACTGGACATCTGTTAAAAAAAAAAAAAAAAAAGAAAGGAATTGACATGGCTAGTGATTAAAGACTCTTAGAACTCATAAATTAGATGATAGACTGGTATTAAGGAATAAATACATAGTAGCCACTCAGTTAATTAAAAAGGTAGTTGATGAAGTTATTATGTACAAATAAGTTAGATTAATTTTAGAAGGATGAGTGCTGTTTTTGGTTAATATTTCAAGAGAAGGGATGGAGAAGATAAGGCTTAGTGAGCATCTACTTTGTGCTAGATACTGTCTATGCATTTTTCTTTTAAGTAACCTGTGGGAAAGAATTAAGATTTCCACTTAGCAGATTAAGAAACTGAGGCACAAAGTGGTTTAATTAACTTGGGCAGAACTATACTACTAGTAAGTGGCAGAGTAAGAATTCAAACCTAGAAACATCCAATTCGAAAGCCTCCCGGTTCTTCCTACTGTGTTATCCTGGGAAGGAAAGAAAACTGAAAGCTGAGTTCATAGTTCCAAAAATCCCATTGGGGGAATACCTTCCTTAGAGAAATGATTGAATATTTAAGTATAATTTTGCTTGCTGTTGATATTATTACTAAGTTGATGTTTCCAATTGACTTCTAGATCCCAATTGTAGAATCAGAAATAAAGAAAGAAGCTGGTGAATTAAAACCTGAAGAAGAAATAACTGTAGGGCCAGTTCAGAAATTGGTTACTGAAATGGGTACCTATGCAACTCAGAGTGCCCTTAGCAGTTCTAGGCCCACCAAGAAAGAGGAAGACAGGTAATTTATGGCACCTGTGCCCTGTTCTCTTCCATATAAAAGAGTCAAATGATTTCTTCTCTTTTATTAGTTTGTTTTTGTGACCAAAATGAAAGTTTTTGTCATTTAAGGTACTTGAAAGGAGGATGTGTAAGTTTCTACCCCCAGGAATTGTATTGATGATTTTAGTCCTCCGTCCTCTCCATCTGTGTTCATTGAAATAACTGTTGTGTTAAACTAAAATTACTTTACTCACATAGAAAAGGCTAAGTGGAGGTAACTTTGATGAAATTTGAGTTTGGTTGCCCACTAGCATCTGGAACATATTTTGAAGGTTTTACATTTCTAATTGATAGAATAAAATTTTGGTGTTTTCCCCTTTATTTTGCTCTCATTTTTATGGTGAAGATGATGAAGATTATGTCTGAAATTTTATAGAATACTTACTATGTGCTAGGCATTGTGCGAATAGTCTTGACAACAGCCCTTTGAGATAGAGTATTATCCCCATTTTACAGAAGAGGAATTTGAGACTGAGAGAGGTTTGTAACTTACCCAATAAGTAAATAGATGAGCTGGAATTTGAATGTAGCTCATTAGCTCCAGTAACATACACTGTTAATTAAACATTTTCTCTTACTGTATTCAGTTGGCTCTTGCAGTATTTGAAGATGAGTTTTAAAGTCATGTATTCTTTTTCTTTTTCCTTTTTTCTTAGAGCTAAAGAGGGGGTTAATTGAGGTCCTTATCACTGAAGGGTGGCAGTGGGAGTTTTTAGTAGGGTTATCTGAATCATTTATACAAAAGTTACATGCTGCTTAAGAAGTTGGTGGCTTTCATTTTCCTTAATTGCTTTGCAGACCTCCCCTGAGAGGATTCCTTCTGGATGGAGATTTCTTTGTTGCTGCCTCCCTTGCCACAACTCTGACCAAAATTGCATTGCGCTATGTAGCATTGGTTCAGGAGAAGAAAAAGCAAAATGTAAGTTCGTTTTTTGTACATTTGCCGAGCAATTGAATATTGAGCTTATGCATTGAACAGTGAGGGACTCAAAAGTTAATGCTAAAGTTCTAATCATGAAAGGGCTTATGGTTTAATAAGGGAAATGGACATAGTAGTATTATATTATTATAAATTGATAAAGTAATACAATAATAATATTGTATAACTAGTCCAGGGGAGGAGATATAAGGATTTATGAAGTCACTTCTATTTGCTAGGATTAGACAAGAACCAAGAAATACTCTTCTCTCTCCAGCATCTTCATTCAGTCAGTCATTGTCTGTTTTATCCCAAAATGTCTCTTAAATTATTCCTATCTTTAGCTTCTGACCATTCTGACTATACACTCATTTATAATAGTATTCTTGCATTACCCGCCAACTCCCACTCCCATCCTTTGTGCTATCATTGTCCTTGATTTTTCATCTACATGTCATGTTATAAACCCTACGACTCATCATTGTTATGTTTGTTTTAAATAGTCCATTATCTCTCTCTTTTTTTTTAATAATTTTTTTTTTCCATATTTTCTTATTTTTCTAGTGTCCGGACCTAGGTGGGGAGGAGGCATGCTTAGCCAGCTATAAGAGTTGGGAGCAGGACAAAGTTCAAGTACCTTCCTGGTTGCCTTTTTTTTTCCCCTCATTTTTTTTAATTGTAAAATTTACATAACATAAAATTTGACATTTTAACCATTTTTAAGTATACAGTTCAGTGGCATTAAGTATATTCTCATTGATGTGCATCCATCAACACCGTCCATTTCCAGTGCTTTTTTATCATCCCAAACCATTTTGTACCCAGTGAACAATAGCTTCCCATTTCTTCCTCCTCCCCACCCCGTGGTAACCTCTGTTATATTTTCTGTCTATATGAATTTGCCTATTCTAGGTACCTCATGTAAGTGGAATCATACAATTGGAGTGTTTGTCCTTAGTGTCTCTGTTTCACTTAGCATAACGTCTTCAGGGTTCATCCAAGCTGCAGTATATATCAGAATTTCTTTTCTTTTTAAGGCTCAGTAATATTCCATTGTATGAGGATACTTCAAAAAGTTCATGGAAAAATAGAATTAAAAGGTAATACTATTCTTGCCATGAACTTTTTGAAGACTGCTAGTATGTATGTGTGTGTTTGTACATATGTTTATCACATTTTGTTTATCCATTGGTCTGTAATAAAGTCATCTTTTACAGAATTTTTTTAATAAGAAAAAGTTGTAAGATATTATCCATTGGTCTGTAATAAAGTCATCTTTTACAGAATTTTTTTAATAAGAAAAAGTTGTATATTTACCATTTATGGTGCTCTTTCTTTGTGTAAGTTCAGATTTCCATCTGATGTTTTCTTTTTGCCTCAACAGCTCAATCATTCTTATAATGTAGGTCTTCTGGTGAAGAATTCTCTCAACTTTCATTTGCCTAAAAGTCTTTACTTTGCCTTCATTTCTAAAAATCTTTCCATGGTACAATTGTAAATTTTTTTTTTTTTTTTAAAGATGACCGGTAAGGGGATCTTAACCCTTGGCTTGGTGTTGTCAGCACCACGCTCTCCCAGTGAGCTACCGGCCATCCCTATATGGGATCCGAACCCGTGGCCTTGGTGTTATCAGCACCACACTCTCCCGAGTGAGCCACGGGCCAGCCCCAATTGTAAATATTTTTAATTTATTTTTGCTCATTTCTTTTTTGCTATTGCTAAAATAAATAAGGACTGATATAATTAAAAACTATGAGAAAAAAATCACTTATGGTTACAGAACTCAGGTACAAATCTTATTAATATTTTGGTGGAGATAGAAACATCAAAAGATAAAATTAAATTAGCAGATACAATAAAGGAAATCCTTTCTTACTCCAGAAAGAGTTGAAGTTGGCTTTTATCTGTGAAATACTTTTTTCCCTAGTAGTGACCATTTTGTGTTTTACAATACTGCAGTTTCAGTTAACATTATAACAAACATTTTTCTCATGTTATTATAAACCCTTCTTAGTTATAATCATAATACTTAATAAGTACATAATAGTTCATTAGATGCACGATTCCTTCATTTACTGTTCATATAACTGGGCATTTTTCATTTTAGTTTCGGGATTTTCAAAAGGTTTTGTTTTGTTTTGTTTTGTTTTGTTTTAGCTTCCCTCAAAAAAAGCCATAAATGATAATTAGAGGGCTAGGTAGCTTATAAAGTATATTATCTGTTATCAATTGCTTTTGGTTTTTGAGCAGTGATTTACTTTGTAATATTCTCTGGGCCATTATTTATTCAAGTCTGGTCACAGTGTAATCTTTAAATTATGTTCTTTAAAAGTCTTCCACATTTTTTGTCTCAGTCCAGTTTGATTTCCTGTCATGGAATGGCTTCTTTACTTCTGTAAGTTGGGAGTGTTTACTGTTATCTGTTTAAAAGAGCCAGATTTCTTGTAACATCTAGTTAATAAAGTTTGCTGCATTTAGTACAAGGGAGAAGGAAAGTTTAGTTGTTTATCACCTCACTGGCACTCCTTCATTTTCCATTTCCAGCACTCTTCGTTTGTGTAGATCTGAGTTTCTCTCTGGTGTTGTATACCTTTTGCCTAAAGAATTTACTTTAACTTTTCTTGTAGTGCCCATATGTTGGCAATGAATTCTCTTGTTTTTTGTCAGGAAAAAAGTCTTTATTTCTCCCTTTTTTTTTTTTTTTTTTTTTTTTTGGTGGCTGGCCAGTACAGTCTCCTACACTTTTTAAAGATATCTTTATGGGTATAGAATTCTAAGTTGACAATTTTTTTCTTTCAGTATTGTAAAGATATATATAGCTCCATTGTCTTCTGGCTTTCTGATGAGAAGTTTACTGCCATTTTTATGCCTCTGTGAGGAATGTGTCCTTTTTTTCCTCTGGCTGGTTTTAGATTTTCTCCTTATCACTGTGTTTCAGCAGTTTGATTAGGATATGCCTTCTTTGGTTTTCTTCATGTTTCCTTTGTTGTGATTCACTGAGCTTCTTGGGTTTGTGGGTTTATAGTTTCCATCAATCTGAGAAATTTTCAATCATTATTTCTTAAGATATTTTTTCTGTCCCCTCCTCTTTCTACTCCTAGAGACAGTGTCCAAGGTCAGAGAATTATTACACTTACTCTCCTGCTGGTTCTTTCCCAGGCCTTGGGTAGTTTTTCATGCATGTGTGCAGCTCAGTAGTTAGCCAAAGACAATTTGCCAAGGGCATAGAGCATATGTGTCAGAATAATGCCACAGAAAACTAAAAAAGTAAGTTGGAATTCATTTGTGGAAGACTTTGAATAGTGGACTAAGTAATATGGACTTCAGTATGAAAGCTGTGAGAAATCATTGAGGTATTTGCTTGGAGAGTGAAATGACTGGTGCAGTATAAAAATAAAGATAGCAGCAGATCACACTTAGCATCAGCAATAATTAGACATACCGATATTATATGCCTCCTGATGCAATACAATTAGAAATACAAAACATAACCTATCTAGTATTCTAGCCACAAGTGTGGGGCAACTGTTTTTTAAAAAGTTGTTCTTTTTAAAAGAACAACTGGGTTCTTTTAAAAAGTCTGTGTGATTAAGAACAAACAACAAGGGCCAGCCCGGTGGCGCACTGGAGAGTGCGCCGCTTGGGAGCGTGGCGGCGCTCCCGCTGAGGGTTCAGATCCCATGTGGAGACCGGTTCCCGCTCACTGGCTGAGCGCGGTGCGGGCGCAACACCGAGGGTTGCGATCCCGTTGCCGGTCCCCGGTACGGGCGCGACACTGAGGGTTGCGATCCCGTTACCGGTCAGTAAAAAAAGACAAAAAGGAAAAAAAAAAAGAACAAACAACAAAAAGGCAGAGAACTAGTCTAGATTAAAAGGGACTAAAGAGTATAGTAGCCAAGTAAAATGCATGAAGCCGATCCTGAATTTAAAAAATAAAATAAACACATTTTAAGATGATTTAGGAAGATTTATTTGAATTCAGAGTATAGTAGATATATTCTGGAATTGTTAAATTTCTCCAGTGAGAAAATCTTATGGTTTTATAGGACACTGTCCTGATTCTTAGGAGATGAATGCTGAAGTATTTTTGAGGTGCAAAATCTTAACTTTCATATGTTCAGCCAAAAAAATGAATGTTTAGGAAAATAAAGTAAATATGGCAAAAGTAAATATGGTAAAGTGTATTCTTTAACTTTTCTATAGTTGAGATTTAAAAAGATAGCATCAGCCTGTGAGAGGGTTAGAGAGAAAGACTGGAGCAAGGGAAAACAGTTAAAAAGCCATTGCTGTTTTTTGTTTGAGGGTTAAGGAAGTCTTAGGGTGGCAGAATAGAAAGGAAGGAGAAGGGTGCAAAAAACGTGTTAATGGAGATAAAATCTAAAGGATTTGAAATCTTACCCAGATGAAGTAAAAAGTTAAGTTTATTTCTTTCTTGTATTGTGAGTTATAATAAAGTGATGTTATTGCAATTGGCGAATCATAACATGATAAATAACCCATTTCTTTACTTTTCTAGTCTTTTGTTGCTGAGGCTATGTTGCTCATGGCTACTATCCTGCATTTGGGAAAATCGTCTCTTCCTAAGAAGCCAATTACTGATGATGATGTTGATCGAATTTCCCTGTGCCTCAAGGTCTTATCTGAATGTTCACCTTTAATGAATGACATTTTCAATAAGGAATGCAGACAGTCCCTTTCTCACATGTTATCTGCTAAACTCGAAGAAGAGAAATTATCCCAAAAGGTAAGGTTTACATGATAAGGCCGTAAAAGTGATTTGTGTTTTTTGTTTTTTTTATTTTGTTGATTTTCAGTCATCATATGTGAGGGCTGTCCCTATTAAAAGCCTATAAAAAGCTACCATTCTTCCCATATTAAAGAGAGACGTGTGTATTGTTTTCTCAACACAGAAAGAATCTGAAAAGAGGAATGTGACAGTACAGCCTGATGACCCAATTTCTTTCATGCAACTAACTGCTAAGAATGAAATGAACTGCAAGGAAGATCAGTTTCAGCTGAGTTTGCTGGCAGCAATGGGTAACACACAGAGGAAAGAGGCAGCAGATCCCCTAGCATCTAAACTTAATAAGGTAACAAAAATGTCATATACACCATAAGTTATTTAAATTGGCTACGTAAGAAACTAGTAATCAAGAAGTTGCTGGATCTGCTGTTTTTTAAAATAAAAATAACTATTACACAGCATCAGTTTTTGTGAAGGCACTGTGATTGATAGGTTCATTAAACCTCTGTTGAAACTCAGAAGCTGATGAAGTACTTCACTACATAAGATAGTACTGTAAATCTATTATGTGATTTTTATAACTTGATCCAGTTGTGTGTGGAATCATAGACTATTAAATAGAGCTGGGAGAATCCTTCGAGGTCACCTATCGTTTTTAAAAGAAAGTGAACAGGTAGGGCTCAGGCCTCTTCCCCTACACTTTGACCTCAGCGTCTGTTCCCTGTTACTTTAAACAGCAACCTTACATTTTTGTTTTGTTTGTACATTTTGTTTTTTGTTTTTTGATAGTACAGTTGTGTGTGGAATCATAGACTATTAAATAGAGCTGGGAGAATCCTTCGAGGTCACCTATGGTTTTTAAAAGAAAGTGAACAGGTAGGGCTCAGGCCTCTTCCCCTACACTTTGACCTCAGCGTCTGTTCCCTGTTACTTTAAACAGTAACCTTACATTTTTGTTTTGTTTGTACATTTTGTTTTTTGTTTTTTGATAGTAATCCTAATGGATGTGGCAGGGTATCTCATTGTAGTTTTGATTAGCATTTCCCTAATGATTAGTGATGTTAAATATCCTTTCAAGTGCTTATTGCCCATTTGTATATATATCTTCTTTAGAGAAGTGTCTATTAAAGTCCTTTACCCATTTTTTAATTGGATTCTTTGGGGTTTTTTGTTTGAATTGTAGGAGTTCTTTATATATTCTAAGTATTAACCCCTTATCAGGTACATGATTTGTGAATATTTTCCCCCATTCTGTGGGTTGCCTTATCACTCCATTGATAGTATTCTTTGATGTGCAAAGTTTTTAGTTTAATTTTTCTTTTGTTGCCTGTGCTTTTGGTGACAATATTCCTCTTTTTTAAAAAATAATTTTTACTTATTTATTTATGTATTCATTTTTGGCAGCTGGCCAGTACAGGGATTGTACCCTGGACCTTGGTGTCCCAGTATTACATTTTTGAAGTGGTGTACTTTGGAAGTGCTATACTTTCATAAATTTTTTTTGTGCGGAGCACAAAATTTTGTCCTTGTGGCATTACAAGCATTTCTTGTTATATAATCTTTAGTATTTGAGCTTGGGTAGCAGGTTCTACCACATTAACTGAATTGTATTTGGTTCCTGAGTTTCAGAGAACAAACTGTATTTAGATACTTACTGACAGATTTAACTGAAAATGTATCCAAATGTCCTCAGTTGCTAAACTGTGATAATGTTTAATGTATTTGCTAAGTATATTCATCTTTCTACTACTGAACTACTAAGACTTAACATCAATATATAAAACATGCCTTATACTGAGTTACTAGTTTAAAAACCAATAGATGCCTGAATATCATCTTTTAAGTTAGAATTTAAAATTCTATATTGTTTGAATAACTTTTTTTAATCTCTAAGACTTGTTATTTCTAATGTCCTCATTTCCATTTTTATTTCTACATTACAAAACAATTTTATTATACCTATCTCAAAATGACTTTTCTAATCTAAACATGTTTATTAATTACCTACCAGACTTAATCGTTTGGCTAGGATATGTTTGGTTAAGTAGTCATTTAATTATGTCTTTATTTTTGTTTTGATAGGTCACCCAGTTGACAGGTTTCTCAGATCCTGTATATGCAGAAGCTTATGTTCATGTCAATCAGTATGATATCGTCCTGGATGTACTTGTTGTGAACCAAACCAGTGATACTTTGCAGAACTGCACATTAGAGTTAGCTACTTTAGGTGAGGAAATTTACCATAAAGAAAAGATGTTGTTACATAGTAGCCTTTTATGGCAGATTATGAAGGAAAGTACAGAGGTTTCAGTATAAAAATTCTCCTGAACCCTTTGTAGCATTTTGAGTCAAGGCTTAGTTTTACATTTAACATTTAGATGACTTCAACTCCAGTTTTCTGAACCTCTTCCATACTGACTTTCTATGCTTTTGGCACATTTAGATGGGTTCATTCAATGAGCTTGGTCTAGCAAATGTCAGGTTTTTTAGGTATAATAACTGCTGTTTAAGTTACAGATTTACCAAGTAGCTCACTTAATTAAATTTTTAATGGCCTTAGTACAGTACTAAGTATTTTCTGAATCCATTACTGTTACTACATACCACCTGTGGCAAAAGTAATGCATAATTATCACATTTAGCAACATATCTTTTTTTTTCTTCTTAAGAAAGACATGAGTCATACTCTCTGACATCTACATCTGATTTTGAAGTTGGAAAATGTAAATCTTATATAGGAACAGTGCAGTGGTCTCAGCAAATTCCATATGGCTTTGGCAAGAGTTAAGAGACATTACGATATCAAGAGAAAACATACTTTTGCCATATCTCCTTCAGCATAGCTTGATGCCTATGTAAAAACTATGTCTCTAAGAATTGACAAGTCTTTTTGCAGGTATTCTTCCTTTGTAATGGAGTGTACAGTTTAAGACCTAATCTTTTTGAGGAGTTTGTATTTATTCACTGAAATAAAATGTTATGCTCAACACCCACCCCACATAAGTAAAATATGGAATTATTCTGAGACGCTTATTACCTTTGAAAAGAAAATTTGCCTGTTGATATGAATAATGATATTAACTGGTTATTTTGTCTTCATATTTGAATCATATTCTTGTCTGTTCCTTATTTGCTAGACACTAGTAGGCTGCATACATTTTAAGGTTTTATGGTTAATATGTTTATTTTTAACCACTCTTTTTTCAGGGGATCTGAAACTTGTGGAAAAGCCATCTCCTTTGACTCTTGCTCCTCATGATTTTGCAAATATTAAAGCAAATGTCAAAGTAGCATCAACAGAGAATGGAATAATTTTTGGTAATATAGGTAAGGTACTGTTTTATGGCATGTGATGTTTGAAAATTTTTATTAAAGAAATTTTATAGTGAGTAGCTGTGGACATTGCTTAAGGACAGGACCTTAACCCATTTATTCATCATTTATGTGTCACTTTCTATGTTTTCAAGCATTGCACTATATCCTGGATGTACAAAAATGAACCAGATGGGTTACTGTCCTTAAGAAACTGTTGGCAAAAGGAGGAGATAGATAAGGAAATATATAATTATAATACAACATTAAAAGAGCTAGTTTATATATTATGGGCTTTGTGATCATAGAGGAAGAAAATGCTAATAGTGTGAAAGGCTTTATAAAGGAAGAGGGTATGTTATCAAAGGATAATATTTGAACTGAGTCTAAAACTTCATATAGGCATTTGTTGCCAGGCACACTATTTCAGACCTAGGGATTAGTTTGTACAGAAGCATTCAGTCAGTAAGCATATTTTGTAGCAATTTCTGTCATGGGGATGGGGCTACCATGGTGAGGAACAAAACATCTGTCTTCAGATAGCTTGTAGTCAAGTAAAGGAAAACAGATATGTAAAATAGATATGCGCATTACGTATGGTAAGTGCTATGAAAGAAACCTGTGTTACATAAGGCGTCATGGGGATGGGGCTACCATGGTGAGGAACAAAACATCTGTCTTCAGATAGCTTGTAGTCGAGTAAAGGAAAACAGATATGTAAAATAGATATGCGCATTACGTATGGTAAGTGCTATGAAAGAAACCTGTGTTACATAAGGTGGGAGTCCATGAAGGGATTTGGTCAGTTTTCAGAGTGGAGGTAGTTTGGGGGAAAAGGTTAGGAAAGGCTTCAGGGAGGAGCTAATGCTTGAGTAGGGTTTTAAAAGATCAGTAAGTGTTCTACAGATAGACAAGGATGCAATTGGAACAAATGTAAGTAGTTTGATATACCTGGGGTTTAGAGTGGGTTAGAGAGTGGTGGTAGGAAAAAAAATGAAGACAGTGAGAGCCGTGTTTTACTTGCTTTGCTAAAGATTTCAGACATTATCTGTGGAAAGGGGAGACATTGAGGAATTGTAAATGAGTAAGTTAAATGATCAAATATTTCTGCAGTAGCACTATATAAGATTGGATGGAAGAGGCAGGAAAATTAACTAGTAGACTATTGCAGAAGCCCAAGATGACAGAGGGCTTGAACCAATGTAATAGTGGTTGGAATGGAAAGAAGGGCTGAACATAATAGATGTTAAGGAGATGGTTACTGACTGAAGAGGAAGTGGCTAGACTAACCCTTGGATTTCTGGACTGGGTTAATTGGGCTGCTATATCAGTCATCAAAATAGGAAATACAGGAGAGAAAAACACACTTGAGAGAGACAGATAATAAGTTAAATCTTGAGCAGGTTGAGTATTAAAGTGTCCAAAGATATTCAAAAGTAGTTGATGTGATTATGGAACTTTTATTTTTTTTGGCAGCTGGCAGGTATGGAGATCTGACCCATGACTTTGGTGTTATAAAGCTGCACTTTAACCAACTGAGCTAAGCAGCCAGTGGCACCCCCCCCCACCCATTTATTTATTTACTTATTGTATGGAATTTGAACAAGAGACCTAAACTAGAGATAAATATTTGTTTGAAAGCCAAAAGAATAGAAGAAACACCCAGAAAGGGCATTGAGTGAAAGGAGGGGGAGATTGGAAAACAGAATCCAAGAGAACACATGGAATTTGAACAAGAGACCTAAACTAGAGATAAATATTTGTTTGAAAGCCAAAAGAATAGGAGAAACACCCAGAAAGGGCATTGAGTGAAAGGAGGGGGAGATTGGAAAACAGAATCCAAGAGAACAATATATTAGAAGCTTGGTCAGAGGAGGAGGAGCCTACACAAGAATCTGAAGTGTGGTTAGAGAAATAAGGGAAAATCATCAAAAATCATCTGAAGCTGCAAAAAACCAAGGAACTTGAAGTCTGAAAGATCGGTCTTTTGGGTTTGGCAGTCAGTGATCTTAAAACATTTCGTGTCATGTCTTGGGCAGTGGTGGTGGGTTGAAGACTAAATAAAAAGACATTAGTAAATAGTTAGATTAATAAATAGACAGTGAGTGTAGGCTATTCTGAGTACAGGATCTCAGCTTTGATAGGGATCAAAAGTGAGGGCAGTAGCCAGAAGAGAAGGCAGGGATGAGGTAGGATTGCTTTTTTTTTTTTTTTTTTTTTTTTAAAAAAAAGA